CGAATTGTTTCGCCCGTGGGGACCTCGAGAACGAGTCCCAGTCCCGATCCTGAGGCGTTAGCGGCACCATCAGTGTAAAGAGTCCATAGGTCGGCATTGGAGGGGGCACGGCGTGCCTCCAATTCCGCCTCTGGTAATATTCCTGCGCTGAAGTTGGCTATGAAGTCGGCAAGTACTTGCGACTTGATGGAGCTTCTTGGATGATATGAGATATCGTGCTCGCTGAGCTCTATGGCCCATTGGGCGAGTCTGCCTGATAATTCAGGCTTGTGTAGGATACTTCTCAAAGGGAAGGTCGTCACTACCTTTATGGGGTGGCATTGGAAATAGGGTCGGAGCTTCCGTGAAGCCACGACTAATGCCAAAGCTAATTTTTCAAAGTGTGGATACCGTGTTTCGGTGTCCACTAAGGTTTTGCTAATATAGTAAATAGGAGATTGTGTACCTTCATTTTCGCGAACTAGGACTGCGCTGACGGCGACCTCGGATACGGCCTTTTGGGCATGAATCTTTTGGGCATGCCTTGTTCAGATCGGTGAAATCCACACACATTCTCCACTTCCCGTTTTTCTTTTTGACCATGACAACATTGGCGACCCACTCGGGGTACTTTGATTCTCTGATGGAGCCGTTGGCCAGTAGCTCGTCTACTTCCTTACCGACTGCTTTATTGATGGCGGCGTTGAATTTTCTCCTCATCTGTCGCACGGGCGGATGTAATGGATCGACATTCAGCTTGTGGGTGGCGATGTCTCGCGGGATTCCTGGCATATCTGAATGGGAAAAGGCGAACAAATCTGCATGGTTAGTTAAGAATTCACAATACTTACTTGGGTTGGCGAGACCTTGCCCGATATAGGCTTTCTTCGTAGGATCGGTTTTGTCCAATTGGACTGGGTCGAGGTCTTCGACCGTTGCTTTACAGGCTTCCACGACGTCGGGGTCTTTGATGACGTCCGTTGTCAGGTTGACCTTAGTTCCCGACACGGCTAATTGCTATGCCTCCGCGCTCGCCCCCTTTAGCTGTTGGGTGTGGGTGCAGTCTTGGGCTATTTTGTAGCATTCTTGTGCGGTGCGTGGCTCGCCTCGAATACTGAATACACCCCATGGGGTAGGGAATTTGATCACTTGGTAGAGGCTTGAAGGGACCGCTCGCATGGCGTGTATCCACGGGCGTCCTATGATGACGTTGTACGCCGTTTCTTGGTTCATCACGTGGAAAGTTGTTTCCAGCGTGACTCCTCCCGCTAAGACGGGTAGTGCTATTTCTCCGGACGTCCGTTCCACTGCATTGTTAAAACCGGTTAGTGTTATGCAGCGCGGTATTACCTTATCCTCGAGTACCATTTGTACGAGAACCCTTGGGTGGATAATACAGGCGCCACTTCCGTCATCAACCATGACTCTTTTAACATCCGTATCAGCGATACGTAAAGTGATAACTAAAGCATCATAATGAGGGAAAGACAAACCGTCGGCATCAGACTTATCGAAGGTGATACTATCTTCGAAGTCCTCATACCGTTCATGGGCGATGGTCCGCTTTAGTCCGTGTGTTGTGGCGAACTTGACGTGATTGATCACTGACCCGTCGCTGCCTCCGACGATCATGTTTTTCGTGCGCGCTGGAGAAGGTGGCTTCGGCGGGCCGTGGGGTTGTTCCCGTCCGCGTGCAAAGTTGATTTTACCTTTGTCGCTGAGTAGCTCTCTCAGGTATCCCTGGTTCAGCATCCTGACCACCTCTTGCCGCAGGCCTATGCAGTCTTCGGTTTTGTGTCCTCGTTCCTGATGGAACTCACATAGGGCGTTTGATTTCCTTGTGGCAGGGTCTGATTTCATCTTCTGCGGCCAATGCACCTTGGTGCCCAGCTTCTCCAGTGCATACACTATTTCTGAGGGAGATACACAAAAGTTATGGGCGGTTAATAAAGGGGGCGTACCTCTTTCGTTTCGCAGTGGGGCGATGTGTTGCTGTAGTGCGTCTGTATGCCTTGATGGCGGATGGGAGGATCTGGTGTATGGCTGGTGTCGATCTCTGTTGGAGCAGGGGAGTTGTTCTCGTCGTCCTTCGTTCCGTCGATCTCTTCTCGTTTCTGAGTGTATCGCTGTTAGCCGTTGGGTCGGCCCATTAAGATCATCCTCGTCCGCTCGTACCTCGGCGCAATAGGCGTTGTGGATTTCCTCCCATGTGGTAGGGGGATATTTCATGAGGCGGCTCAGCAGCTTCCTGGTTGCCCTCGAACCATCTCTGCTTAGCCCGTTCTGGAAAGCGGCGACTGCCATACCTTCCGATACGTTTGGTAGACTCATCCTTACCCTGTTAAACCTTGCCAGGAAGTCCCTGAGTCCCTCTCCTGTGTTTTGCCTGATGGCGAAGATGTCGTTGACCCTGGCCTCCGCTTTCTTCGCGCCTGCATGGGCTGTGACGAATTTATCCGCCATTTCCTCGAACGTTGATATTGCCTTAGCCGGTAGCTGAGAGTACCATGTTAAGGCCCCTCCTGTCAACGTCTCGCCAAACTTCTTCAGCAGCATCGACGGTACCTGTTCTTTCGATAGGTCATTGCCCTTCACAGCGGTGACGTAGTGGATCAGATGATCCTCGGGATCTGTGGTTCCGTCATATACCCTTAAGTAGGGTGGCATCTTGAAGGTTTTTGGGGTGGAGTGAGGAGCAGCTTCTTCGGTGTATGGTTGTTCAACGAACCTTCCCACGTCGCGTTTTGGTAGCAACTTGGGAGCACCGGGGATCTTGTCGACCCTCTCCTGATGTTCCTTCATCTGACTGCGGAGCGCCTTGTTTTCGCTTTCTATTTCTTCCATCTTCTTTAGGATGGTTGTTAGCGTGCCATCGTTGGTCTGTGTCTCGATGGGTCTGTTATTTACCAGTGTAACTTCCGGTTCACCTACTGCAGCAGTGGTACCTACCGTTGGTGCACATACGATGTTATTTTGCGGTGACCTCTCAACCAAGCCACTTAGAGTGCTTGTTAGCCATCTTTCCAGTAGCTCTTTGACCGCTGAGGGTGCTTCCGTAGCTGCAGATGTGGAAGCTCCTTTTTCGTGCAAGATCGTCAGGCCTTCGGATGGGGAAGGTGAGATCTCTGCACCTGGTGTGATGCTAGGGGTTTCATTCAGGATGCCATCGTCACTGGCCTCGTTGAGAGGGCCCAGGAGATTGGTAGTGACACCCAATATTGCTTTCGATCTTGTGTTATTTTCGGCCATTTTCTGTTTTTGAGTGGTGTAGAGAGTAGTAGTTGGTTGATCTCTAGGTGGATACTATGGTTTTGATTCTCGAAATCCCCACAGACGGTGCCAAATTGTTTGGCTCAAAAGTTAACGATGTACTTTGTAAGCGATAAAACAATCAAAAAATAGAGAAGGGGTAAATCGTAATCAAATATAATAAGTCTAGAGATGCAAAGATGATAATATTGTTGTAGATCTAATATTGCAAAGTGACAATGTATGTTAATAAGGTATTTTCGTCAGAAGTAGTGATATAGAGAGAGAAAGACACAAAATGAGAGAGTTGTATTAGATCAGATGCCCCTCTTTACAATGTGGAGGTCTCCTTTATATAATAGGAGACCTTCCTCGAAAGAATCAAAAAGTTACAGAGATAGGTAACGTCTCCCTAGTATAGACACTGAGTTCTAAACGACGTCGCTTTGGTCCTCACGGCCGAGTCGTACCCGCTACGTTGGTCGGCGTACACTCATTGAGCGTACCCACTGGCGTAGAGATACTGAGGGTCAAATTTGACCCTATACAAGTTTGATTTTAAATAAAGATGGGTAACTTTAAACTTGTATTGGACTTACGAACATTATATTATCAAAAGGTCAGGATAATATAGGATAAGAAGAATATGACACATTTTTATCTCATTCATTGTTCTATCTTTATCAAAGATGTATCAAGTATCTAAGTCCTTTGGAGGTCAGACTGTTGCTTTCTTTTCTCCTAAAATAAGAAAAAGAAATTGGCCGAGGAGTCTTATTTGGAGGAAATGATCATTACATACTCACTCAAAATTTAAACAAAAAATTATTCTAATAAAGATTTTCAATATTATTTTCACAGATCTCTTGTGTTATAAAAGAGTCATTATTAGAACAATATCTGTAATCAACGACAAAACTAAATCTTTTTTTGTAAAGTAATTAACAGAAATTATAATGATATTCTGAGACCTCCATAAGAAAAATAAATAGGAAAAAATATGTGAGCCAATTGAAAGTTAAAACTTCCAAAGTGATTGCATTTATTTTGTATAACATCAATTGCTTCAGAATATTATAAATAATTAAATATTTTAATTAATTGCACAAGACTTAAAATTGATGTTAGCATACTGGATACTAGTTTTATTTCCATAACCTTTTGATTAAAATTTAAAACTATTTAGATACTCAGAATCTCAAAGTCACTTGAAATCTGGATTCTAATAGAATCCAACCAAATAAAGAAAAATACAGAGAATCCCAACGGAAAAATAAGATCCAACCAAAAGAATAGGAATAACACCAAGATTTTTCAAATACTAAAGTCAATATGAATATTTCATTAACTCAAACTACTTTTTTTTTTTTCATCATCGTCATAATAATGATAATAATACAATAACAATTATCTGCCTCTCTGTCACCACCACCAGAACAAATATTAATTGTCTGGGGAAAATAGCACTAACTAACCTTAAATAAAAAAAAAAAATTCACCCACATCTCATTGGAACCCAGCAAAGCTTCAGAAATTAAATTCTGGGTTCAAGGATGGTGGAAAAACAAGAAAAATAAAATAAACAAAAAAAACTATAAAAAAAGAAAAAAGAAAACTGCCTAGGTCAGGTAGCTGTGGACCCCATTTACCAATCCACCACCATTTACAGTTATTTAAAAGAAGAAAAAACCTAACCCTAGGGAGCTTCCTCCTTCAAGAACCGAACCGGGGAGGAACAGAACCGAACCGCGCATTGTTAGAATTAAAACCGTTTAAACCCTAGCATTCTGCAGAAGAGGAGCAAAACCATGGGAAGCAGCTTCTTTGCAAGACTGATCTAAAGATTCAAACCCCACTTCAGAAATCAGCTTAACAAGCTCATCCAAACCCAAATGGCCGAAACGTTCCTCATCCCGGTCCAGTAACCTTAAAATCTCCGAAAAGTACTCGACTTCACAAGGCAAAACTAACCCGCCTGTCCTCTGGTACCCGAATTCCTCCTCTGCCTTGTCGAGCAGCGAGATGAACACGGGGAGGTTCAAGAACCGGGTCGGGATAACGAACCGGCGGCGTTCTGGCCCCACGTAAACCGCCAATGATCCTGAGGGTGTCCGCCGGTCCGAACCGGATAATGCCGGTTCGTCTGAATCGGATGAGGAGTACGAGAGGACACTGCGGCGCTTAAGGGACTTGTTTTTCCAGCGTTTGACGACTTGTTTTAGCCTCACGATTTGAGTAATCATGTTCCCTTTCTTAATGGCGGACGCCATTGATTATGAATGAAGCTTTTGCTCTTTTCTTTCTCTTTCAATATTTTTAGAGAGATTAAGAGAGAGAGGAACTTTGAAGAAGAGGTGTTGGAGATTTATAAAGGAAATTAAAGACTTGTGAGGTGGCTAGTAGGGGTATAGGGGTGGTGGGGGGCTAGTGAGGGAGGGGGTATGTGGAAAAAGTGTATACTACTAAATTCTATTGAGTTGTTTTCTTGTACTCATTTGATTTGACCAAGATAGTCATCCAAACATATTACCTTACCAAAATCGTGAACCAGTTAGGGATTGTTTGGTTGATTGTATTCTGATAAGTAGTCTTTTCTTAAGGTTTCATATACTATTTTAATTAATACGTAAATTGCTCAGGAAAAAAAAATTAATCGGATTGAAATCGTGGGATAGTTTGATTCTAGTATAATAAATAAAATATTAATGTTTAGCGTATAAAAAAGTAATTATTACATAATAATAATTCTAGTAAGAGAGTAACACAAATATACTATGAGAAATTAGATTAGGGCCCAACAAGTAAAATACAACTTAATTAGGTTCAACTTATATTATATGCGTATCGTGGGGTTTCTAATAGCAAAAGAATAACGCAAATATATTATGAGAAATAACTAATAATGAAATGGAGAACATTTCATTTGTCATAGTTTTAGCAAAACCATCTAGAATGAGAAACAATTATTACACTCCAAATGAGATTCCTACTATGCATATATTTGTGTTAGTGATTATCGTAATCTAGTTAGGGATTGTTTGGTTGATCCTATTGTACTAGCAGATTGCGTTTTTTTAAGATTTTGTATTATTCCTTTAAGTAACACGTGAATTGTTCAAGAGAATTTTTTTAACCGAATTGAAATCATAGGATAGTTCGACCCTATTATAATTAAATAAAATATTAATGTTTAGTTAGTCGTATAGGAAAAGTAAGTATTACATAATTAAGTAACATTCAAGTTCTAATCTATACTATATTTTAAGTACAAAACCCCTTAAAGAAATGACGTCCGTCTTTTTTAACCTTATAAATAAATTTTATGTTGGATGAAATTATAATTTAACTATTTCTCTAATTTTTAGGACTTTAAAATTGCTTAAATTTTTGGTTATTACACTCTTCCTAATTTGAAATATGTATCTACTTGTGCAACGATATTAAATGCTCTAAATTTCCTTTTATAAATGAACTACTAATATTTAAGAGTACGAGATCATTAATAAATTTTTCACTTCTATTCTCAAACAAAGAAGTTCAACTTAAAGCCAATATAAACGAATAAAAAATAGTTTAAAGTCACCTAAACAAATCTGGTACTACCAATTTTCTTTTGCATACTTTTCCATGGACAATTATTTATCATATAAATATGATATTTGTATGACTCTTTAAAACAAGAGCAGGAGTTATAAATTGATATTATTTTGTCGAGCAGTACATATGATGAGTTCGACGGAGATTTGTTATAAATGCACAATTTATATATGAATGTAAGATTTATTTAAGAATTCTCTTACATTCTTCATACTTATATTTGCTAAGAATTTGACATTACAAGGATATAAAGAGCGAAACTTTCTGCCATTGAGTACTTGATTATTTTTTATTTGAGACATTAATATTCTATCTTGTTATTTTGGTGAATTTTTTTTAAGAAAACTTATAATTTTAAAGTCGATTCCCCCCTGCATGTACCTACTTTTACTCGGGTATATTCTAGAAAGAAAATAATTTTCTAAATTTTATGTTGAAATAACATTTATTAAATCATATATGGAAATTTTTTTTATTATTAGTTTAAATTTTTGTTGCTTATATATATATTATATAATAATATCTATATATATATATATATATATAATATATATTTATTATATATATATATATATATATATATATATAAATAAATATATATATATAATATATATATATATATATATATATATATATGAGAATGGAGAATGAGCAGAAGCTTCACAAAATAAACATAGTTTGTAAGAGTTTGTTTTATGTAATCTGATTCAGTGAAATTGTCTTGCAAATTATATACATGTATTTTACGCATGGTATAGTATTATAAAAAAAGTTACTACTTAATTATTGAGAATATTTGTTTGAAGGAGTAAAACTTTTTAAGTGCAATTTTTGTTAATTTTGTAGGAATATGTTAAGTTAAAAGAAGATTCTTGTGCAAATAAGCTGAATGCAAAAAATGAGAGTATCTTACTATCTTATACGACCTTTAACTTTGTTGATGAAGAGTTGAAGTTTTTCTAAAATTCTAGAATATACCCGAGTAAAACTCAAAATAAAAAAAGTTTTTCTAAAATTTCTTTCTTTTGGTTTGGTTAGGACGTTACAAAAATCCAACCTTTGGAAGCGTTTGTTGAAACCAAAAAACCAACAGACTATCAAATCATAGAAGAGATATATATATATATATATATATCACTGATTGTTTATCATGTCATAAACATATAAAATATAAAAGCCATAAATTAATCAAATAAACATTATTACACTCAACTCCCAGAGAATGTGAATATTTAAGCTTTTTTAGATAATTTAATTTCTATTTTATAATTCAAAATAATTCTTGATATGTATGCAATAAAAACTTCATAATTTTTAGATACTAATTATGTAATGTTTGACAAAAAAGTTATATTACACGTGCAATACACATACACCAAATCTAATACTAGTAAAAGAATAACACAAATATATTATTAGAAATGAGATTTAGAGTGGCCAACCAAGCAAGATAAAATATAAGATAAGAATAACTTAAATATTTTACGAGAAATAACTAACAATGAAATGGAGAAAATTCCATTTATCATAGTTTGAGCAAAACCATCTAGAATGAGAAACAATTATGGCACTCCAAATGAAATTCCTACTATGCATATATTCGTTGTTAATGAATCTCCACTGAATCTTCCTCATTTATCTACTATTATCACAATCTAAGTGAGTATCATATCGTAATCTGGTTGATGAATCACATATATTATCTTTTTTCCATATAGTTAACATGATAGAGTAAGCTAGCAACGACGACTGGCCAAAATTTATGGCATCGCAATTCAAATTGTAACATTTTAACCATTCAATTATTCCTAATAGATAGTCTTTGCTTGAGCTTAAAACGTTACTATGAGGAAAAAGAAAACAAAATTGATGAAAAGAAAAAGAAAAAGGAGGCGTAATTCTATATTTCAAGAATTCAATCCTTACAAAATTGGCACTCTTTTTTCAAAAGAAAGTATTTTAATGGCAAAAACAACAGAGAAATAAATTTATCTGCAGTTTTCTTAATCTATTTATGTAAAATATCAGAATAAATTTCATTAGTCAATCATTTTAAATAAGTTATCAAAATAAATTTCATTGGATAAAAAGACAGAAGTAAACGTAACTGTTGTTCTTTAGTCTATTTATGTAATTGTTTGTTTTCATTCTCAATAGTCAATATAAGGATGGAATATCAAAATTCATTGGTCAACGCTATCACATATACTAAATCCATCAAAATCAATTAGCAATATAGCATAATAACCCCACAAAATATATATAATACATTAAAATTTAAGAAAATTAAACAAAATTAAAAAATCACAAATTAAAATATCTATTTTTTTTAATACAAAATGCAATAGTGCAAAAGATACTATACGATAAAATTCAACTATAACGTCTTATCTTTCAAACGATTAAAAAACTATAATATTTTAAAAATATTATCTAACTACACAATTTGTCTCTCTATAAGTTAATAATCGACAAACTCCATAAATACTGTAATTTAAATAATCCTTCTCACGAGTAAATATAAGATTACTTTCAGATAGTAAAATAATAAAAAGATTGATGATTTTGAGAGACAGAACAAAAATATGAATACCTATAGTAAGTGATTATATAAATTTTGACTATTCAAATGATATTCACTCTATGATATTGTCAATGCGAACTATGACTTATTATTTTGAGTTACTCTCAATCTTCATATTTCTATAGATGAATATAACATTAATTATTTATTTGTTAAAAAATTTGAGTGTCAACCGTGCTAATTACGTAATTTGATGCATGATTTGCGCTAGGAACTATAGATCTTAGAGAATTGGTTATGATTTATGTGAGTTCAGTTACATATCCAAATGCATAGTAATCTATTTGTCATTTTGTCACGACCCAAACTGGAGGGCCATGATTGGCACCCGGGCCATACCTGCTGAGCACCAACGTACATTTTATCTAACCGTTCTTATTATCTATACGGGCCGGCGAGATCAACATAAATGGTAGATATGAATCATCAACAACCAACAATCACAGATAATGACATGAACATACATAATATGGGCCGACAAGGCTGTTATGAAGCTATATATAAGGTATGAGCTGACAAGTTGCCATGAGAGACTAAATAACAAAAATCAACCGGTAACGACAAGGCAGTCCAAACTATACATGAGTCGACACCTGTCTATGAGCCTCTAAAGGAACATAAGTGCTGTAACATTGCTAGAAAAGGACCCCGACATACCCATAATGTCTATAACAAAAGTGCATACTAAGACCACGGCAAGTCCGAAGAAGGGATCTCGCCAATAACCGCTGAACTTCGCAGCCTACTGTGGTGGGGGAGCTACGTCTACCTGTCTATCAGGACCTGCAGCACGACATGCATCGTCCACAAATAAAAGAAACGTCAGTACGAATAAAGTATCGAGCATGTAAGGCAGGAAAGCATAAATAAGAACAGTAATGTAAGCAGGGATAGAGAAGATACAACCTGTAATATCTGAGTGTCTCTAGGGGCGATTGGCATGATACATACATACATACATACATACATATATATATATATATATATATATACACACACACACACACACACACACTTATGTGGGCATCATCATCATCATATCATACCCGGCTGTAATAGGTTCGGTAATTATGTACCCGACCGTCATAA